TGCATAAGCACATATAACACCGACTACTTCTTGCCACTTCAGATATGCCGTAATGCAGAAATAAAATTGCTTCTTTGTTTACCGGGATTTTATTTAGAATTGATGTTTCAACGAATAGAATATTGAAATTTTAAGTGCATTATCCATTCTCGACGGTTTGCTATTTTCATAAATTAAATTGGATTTGTATTAGGGATAATTGAAAATCGATACGTAAAAAATATACGAAACAGTTGGTTTGGTGTTTCGTTTTTCGCTTAATTAATAATTGGGTTTGCGGTCTCAACAGCTGTATTCTTCCAAACGTGTTATTTTTTATTTGAAACGAGGCAGTCTAGCGCCATAGAATTGGACGTTTCGGAAGTTTTGATCGACATGCTCTGTCTACGAGTCGGAAACACATATAATCCATTAACATTTAAAATGAAGTGCAAAAGATTTGAATAAATCACTTTTCGTCAAACATCTGAATGTTCTTGACTACGGTAGGTATACCATTTTTCATTGGTCCGGCAGACACTAAGAAATTGAATTCTATATATTTGAAAGTAGAAAAACAAAAAAGTAAGTAAGTAAATGGTACAAAATTCCATAATTCCAGAAATTGTACAGGGGTGTTAAATTCTCGTACAGAAAATCAAAGCTGAGCTTTTTGTTGCAATGTTTTGTTATCATTTTGGTGTAAGTAATGGTAACTGTTGTTGCAATGCAATTATACAGGGTGTCCCTAAAAGGTCTGTACAACGCGCTACCAGGGGTTCTTGGTATCAAAATAGGACGATTTAACCCAACTTACCTCTAACCAAAAGTGCCTCGGTAAGGCGCTATCTACCGCCAAAGATTTAAAAAAAAAATCGTTATTTTTATTTTATCGGAAAATGGTTTTGCCGATTAAAATGAAATTCGGGATGTGAATGTCTAATGTAAAAAGGGTCTTTGTGATATCATCGTTTTGATTGTAGTTGCTATGTAGGTGGTAAAATACTGACCATCCACATCTGAAGAGGTCTAAAACTTTTTAACTACTATTTTGACGGTTCTGAATTTTTAGACACTGATAGACAGTTTACTTGCAAGCATTTTTTGTCTCTTGATGAATATCGCTATCTGTGATGGTTTACGAAAAAAAAAAAAATTTAGGCATGATGAATGGCATGCACCATACATGCGATTGTTCCTCAAAAACCATAAGTGCAAGCAAGAAGTAGGTTATGACGATTTGGAAACCTGTGAGTATACTCCCTAACGCATTGGCGACCATTTCCACGACAGTATCCAAACACTAATAGCATATCAGTTAACTCTGCGTTACTGTATTGAAAGCTCATATTACAATTTTAACAATGAAATTTTAAGTCTTCAAGCAAAACGTAAATTGTTCAAGTTTAAGAAACAACAAACAAACGTTACGCCACTCTAAGGTTTCACAGCCATCTTCTGATTTTTTGAGGAACAATCGCATGTATGGTGCATGCCATTCATCATGCCTAAATTTTTTTTTTTTCGTAAACCATCACAGATAGCGATATTCATCAAGAGACAAAAAATGCTTGCAAGTAAACTGTCTATCAGTGTCTAAAAATTCAGAACCGTCAAAATAGTAGTTAAAAAGTTTTAGACCTCTTCAGATGTGGATGGTCAGTATTTTACCACCTACATAGCAACTACAATCAAAACGTCGATATCACAAAGACCCTTTTTACATTAGACATTCACATCCCGAATTTCATTTTAATCGGCAAAACCATTTTCCGATAAAATAAAAATAACGATTTTTTTTTTAATCTTTGGCGGTAGATAGCGCCTTACCGAGGCACTTATGGATAGAGGTAAGTTGGGTTAAATCGTCCTATTTTGATACCAAGAACCCCTGGTAGCGCGTTGTACAGACCTTTTAGGGACACCCTGTATTATAGGTACCAGTCCTAACATTTTATGCGCCCTTCGTTTTTGGCAAATTAATTTTTCAGTTTTTCAATCCTGACAGCAAGGGAGGATTATAGCTTTTGACTATATCTTGCCAGAAAGCTACACAAGGCATTAATTCAGTAATACACGCTATACGTGTATTGTATTAATCAATTTGGTTCCATACACATAAATTCTTTGCTTTTCTATATTTCTTTTATCGTCCTAAATTTTTCAGATTTTCGCTTTTAATTCGAAAATGGTGCGTTACAGTGAAAATGTTCTTCAGTACAAAATGAAAGCTTATTAAATTTGCTACAAGTTTGGTTATATATATTTTTTCGAAAACTGAACCGTTTTATGGTATTAATGTCCTCGTACCCATACATACATATTATATTATATTATATTATATTATATTATATTATATTATATTGTACAGTGTGTAAAGCGATGGGGTATACAAGAGGGAATTTTTTTTAAAATATTGATTTATGAAAAAAATTTATTCTTCATAATATGTTTTGCTTGCTTTGAAAGTACCAATAACGTTTCGAATGTTTGTGGTTTGATAGCAATGAATACTCTATCTTAATTATAATGTAGAATGATAACTTTCAATAAAAAGAATTAATTTTATTATTTTTCCATATTTCTATAAATAAATTGTAGATTATCGAAACGTTATTGGTACTTTCAAAACAAGCAAAAAATATCATAATGAATAAATTTTTTTCATAAATCAATATTTAAAAAAAATTCCCTCTTGTATACCCCATCGCTTTATACACTGTATATGAAGCATACTGCTCACAGATGAAAGAGAAAGTGGTCCCAACATTCCACTTGACTCTGTGAAGGAGAAAGCCACCGTCCACTACAGTGTAAATCATTTTGAGGTTCACTGCATCCATGCACACAGGGGAAGCTTCATAGAGAGCAGATTTCTTCGTTTTCCTGAAGCATCCTTCGTGGAATAGAGTCATGGGGTATGGAGATAACTCCTACTTCAACAGGTTCGGACTATAGGGATGTTATAAATGCTGTAAGGTTTTATTGTGACGATTTCCCCTAAAATGACCGGGGGAGGATTTAGAAGCCAAAAATATACGAAAAACGTGAGTGAAAAACAATTGTGTTTAGAAATTACCACCTTTCGGAAGCCGGTAGCACGACAACGGTTCAGTTTTTCGTAAAGATGTATATAACCAAACTAGTAGCAATTTTAATAAGCTTTCATTTTGTACTGAAGACCTTTTTCACTGTAACGCACCATTTACGAGTTAAAAGCGAAAAACTGAAAAATGGGTCGTTTAAAGCCCCCTCCTTCCCCAAGCGACATCGGAATTTGGAGGGACTTTATTTTTTCTTGTTCAGGGAACCTCTCCCTACACATTTCTGAAAAAATTGGAACTAGTATTTTTAGTTCCTCTGATTTTCCTATTTTGACTGGACTAATCATTACCACATCCACTTCCATACAATTGTCTTTAAAAACTTTTTCTTATCCTGTTGTGCTTCCTTATTTATTTCATTCCTTAATTGCTCTGTACTTTTTTCCCTTCCTTTGTATTGTCTTCCTTCTCTTCTCTATTTTCCAATAATTTCCTCTGTTATCCACTCTCTTCTAGCATGTGCTTTCTGACTCCGATTGTAACTTCTTTAAACCTCATTTGTGACTAGCTTCCTTCTTAATAAGTCTTTTGAATTTGAGGTCACATAAATACCTAGCATTAAACTATGGTCACTATCCACATCTGGCCGCGATCCAAGGGGCGCCGACGCGGTAAAAAATTTTACAAGCCATTTAATGAGCGGTGTATTATCTTTTTCAACCGAAATCGTTTTATTGACAGAGACGGTGCAAGCAAACGTGAAGTGACATTTCCGTGGCAATCATGGGATTACGAACACACAGCCCACTTAATTAGACTTGTATTCGAGGATAACGTCAATATGATTTCATGATATTTCCCTTATTTTTAAATTATATTGCAGTATAATAAAAAATATTGAAAAATTGATTATACACTTGTCCCTTAAAATACTATCTTAATTACGAATGGTTGAAAACTGCACATAAGGAGTTACCAAATTTTGAACCAACTTAGTGCATTGATTTGCATTTGTCTCGTTGAAGAACGTAATTTAAATGTGCCACTTGTACCTATTATTTCTATAAAAGCATCTCCAAATAGATATACGTTATAACATAGCTCGAAATACTGTCGTACCGGTAAGACCCAAGAGTACAAATAATGCAGTAATTGCGCAGTTGTTTCACTTTAATATTGAAAATTGTCTGCAATTGTCTGCGATGGTATCATTATTTACTTAAGCGTCCATTTTATTTAAATACAACGAATTTGGTCACCATTTGTAGCGTACTTGCAGTTTCTAAATTTCTATTATTGGTATGAATGTCAAATAATTCCGATTCTCGGTTTGAAAGTAGTTAGGTCTATTTTGAACTGATTTACGGCGTTTCGGCATTGCCTTCGGAGAGAATTTATATTCGTATTTCGTGATCGCACAACTCGAATATTTGCTGAAGCATTACCATCGACAATGCACTCTCAAATCTAAACTTCTCAACGTTCACAGAAGTATGAAACATATATTCCACTTTAAGCACTGCTTTCGCTAATATATCACTTTACAAATAAAAATATGATTATCTCGTTTGCTCACTTCCATTTGTAAGTAAATATCATGTTGTTTGTTCCGCATATACTTAATTACCTTCTATTTATGGAAGAACATTAAAAAGGACATTCGCGAATGCGAAACTAAATTTACTTGTTTAGCAAGAAAAAGGAATGATCATTTTGGAACGTCCCGCATAGTAATGCAAGATAGGGCTCCATCTCCCCAGTAATCGTGCCATTGTAGATTGTATTTGCTTTCCCCCAGCCCTAAACAACCCATTCAACCGATATTTATGCGAATTTTAGTGATATAGAACTCGCGCTGCTCGTAATATGATTTATGGCGCAGAATTCTCATTAATATCTCATTATATTTTGATACAAATACATGAGTTACCTGGCGCGTGCAGATATAAACCGATCTACATATTGTAATAAATAGAGAACAGTTCTAAAACGTTTATTGCATCAATTATATAAACATACATAAATTATTAAGTTTAATATTACACTCGTGCTGAGCGGGCGCTGTCATTTCGATATAGCAATGTGTGCTGTTACGGTTCTAACCTCGTTATTCTAAACTATTACCTAAATTATAAAACTTTAAAATACTAAATTAGTGTGCAAAAACATCCTCCTGACATCTATCGACGATACTCGGTGCTTTCTTCTTGTTCTTTCTTTATCGCCTGTATAAGGATGATCGCCATCACCGCGTTGCAGACCTAAAAAGAGAATATGGTTTTATTACAATAAATTTTACAATATTCAAAATACAAGGGGATCGTCATGAACAAATCTATAAATTTAACACACATGTGACGAACATAATCCGTGTAAAACCGATTAACAAACATTGTAACGTGGGGTTAGAGTTGTATAGGGGTTAAACTACGCGATTAATACCTAATGTTAAAAATACACCTTCGTTTTGTGCTGCCGACAGCAAACATATATTTGCTAAATATGTCTCTGCATTAATACTAAATTAGTTTTGGGGATGGATGACACAAGCCTTCTCTTTAATTAAAAAGCGACAGCCAAATAATACTACAGTTGACAACTTCTAAAAGGTTTAACAATGTTATTTCGTATGTATACATATATTCCAATTACTGCCAATAATTACTTGAGATTATTGTCAAATGCCCGTTTGGGAAAACCATTGGAAAAGGTCTACTGCCACATTCAGATAAACTTAGTTTGAAACTAGAACAGGAGATAAATTTGCTATTTGTGTTAAAACTTTATCACATTTTTACCACTTCACAATCCAATCATTGCTTTTAGAATATAATTCCAAAGCCTAGTCGAGAGTTTTGACCAAGTGAAATGCATTTTTTTTTTGCAATTTTGATGTGTAAACAAACACATTGCAAATTGGTTGCCTAAAAAATTAAGGTAAGACTACCTTAAGTAAAAAATGTAATTAATATTTCTGTCTTCTTCTATTACATGGAAAGAGTGCCTCTTACACCTGCCACACAGATGCCTGAACATATATGTCAAGTGTAAACATAACATAATATACTAAGGTTACAAGTGTACCTCAGGACGGAAAAAAAACAATGGTAGAGACTCAATTGAGACTCAATTGATTTTTACTGTTTAAACGATGAAATAATCAGTTCTTTGTCATTAATTTAGGTTAGATAGCCAAGAAGAGACGAAAGGGACAGGCACGGAATTGTGAAAATTACTTTATTGCAGAAAATAACACATCTATGGGTTTACGAAGACACGCTGTCATAATTATTGTCCATTGGTTTATCCATATCAGCGTTGATACTGCAAGCAATCACCGAACCTGGCAATTGGTGAAGGTGCACACACAAAATATTCGATGAACTAAAATTGTTTGCTCGGTAACAACGCCCTGAGGGGCAGCGTAATTGCATAAACACCTAAAAACGAAGCCCAAATGTATCGAGAACATTATATGCATTATGTTTTGTGCAAAAAGGTTTAATTAATAACACAAAACGCTACCCGGAAAATAATTTTCGCAACAATTTAATCACCTGTTCGTTGTAGCTGTTAATAACAAATCGGAAGGAAAGATATTTGAAAACGAAATCAAACGACGTCGTCCTAAAGGAACGCGTATTCGATTGTTCAAACGCCTTTCATTATACAAATTACAACCTTTCAGCATTGACATAACAGACTCATTTTGAGAATTGATACTTAATTGTTCCAATTTAGAATTACTCTCACCTATTAATGTTCAATTATTATTAATGAACCCACACTCTTAGCGGAATAATTGAATTTCAAGTTTTGGGTACACAAGGGGCGTGTTATGGCAGTTGGGACGGGTTTCCGGTTACAAAATCTCTTAGTGTGATCGTGAAAAACATTGCGTGGTGATTTTTGCTTAGGGTAAATTTAAATAACTAATACGGTTAACGCGCGTATTTCAGAAATAGGTCAAAACTTATCACGTCGTAAATTCGTGCCACATTATTTAGCTCAGAGCAGTATGAAACAACGGAAAAGCGTTTATAGACTATTACTTACAGCAAAATTATTTTAGCATGCCATACACAAGGAAAGTTTAAATAGCACCCTCTAAGTAAGCCTCTGGTCTGATACCATATCCTCACGCAATCCGGCCATTGATATCTTTAAGCGCGCTTTAACACTTCTGGGTCGCACACAACTCACACAAGTCGCATGAATAGTTCTAAAAAGAGGCGAATAGTTCAAAGTTGTCTGAATTACAAATTTATAAAAATAATTAGCATAATGAACGCACGCAATAAAATTGGAAAGCTGCACGAAACCCTAATTCGCGATACATATCCATAATTTTTGAGCAAATTTATATGATTGGACGCCATCAATTAGGGGATCAACGTTTCTTGCACGCACCAATGCTTCGTACATTAATTACTATCTACGGATTATGTACGCTTATATAAACACATTTAAGCTGTTGATGACAAACATTTGATGTTGGATGTTATTGATCACATTAACCGTTCAGTATTGTAATATATCAACGCCATTTATTACATTACGCTAGCATTGGGGTATTATTAAAATGAAAATCGAGTGAGAACCGTTTCAATTTAGCCTGGTACTAAGTACAATTTTAATTAAGCGATCTATAGATATGCTAAATTTAGTTTATTGGTATTACTTAGCTTGATTTGCCCTTAAATCATATATTTCATAAACTTTGATTTGGGTTAAGTAAAAAAACAAATACTGTATGGTAAAATTGAATAAATTATAGTAATGAATGTGACGTCATTGCCCTTATTTAGTTGCTCCACTTTTCAGGTTTCTTCACGGGATATAACAGCAAGAAGAGATTAGTCTTTTTCATATTTGCATAGAATGTGGAATAAAATAAAGTAAGCTGACCTGCTTGGATTGTCGAGTGGATGAAGTAGGTATGCAGTCGAAGCACGTTTTAGGTTTGGGGCAACCTAACCCGCTACAAAATATAATGTAACGAAGTACCCGTTTTCCGCATTGACGGTTATACGTTTTAGTGATCACTCTGTAAATGAACACCCGGTATCTAGAAGCAGTTTAAGTTGGGCGCTTCGTTACGAAAAGTGTCGTGCCGAAAGCATTTGTGTTGGTTCTAGGAATTGAACTAGAAGCTAAAGATAGGTAATTGATTTATTTTCTAGAGTTGTGTTCAGCTGCCACTACCGTAAATAAACCGTTCCCGTCAAGATATTTCAATTATTTTTGTTGCATCCGAAAGCTCTTGTCATTTAGAAGACGATGCAAACTAATATTTTAGAATTGTAGGCACTTTAAGCCATTATTAGCAGGTTTTTGTTCCTATGGTAATGTAAAACATTAAACTAACCAATTAACAATGAGCCTTACTGGACTACCAACTTTAGAAATTTCAATCCGGCCAAGTAATGTAAGTGGATTTAACCAAATAAATATTGTGTTGCCGTAAAAACATCCGATTAAGTCGTGAGGGGTATGAAAAGAAGTTTTCTTAATTAATTTGAAGTTTACAGACGTCAGCAGATGTCATAGGCTTCGTTCACACACGACGGTAATGGCGCGGAATCGCGCATTCCCATGAGGATCTTATTTACATGAAAATATTCCAAATCGCTCAGACAATACCGCGCGGGACCCGCGTGAGAATCGCGCTATTACCACCGTGTCTGAACGAAGCCTTAATTTTTGCACAATATTAATCGAACACGCCGGTCGGCTGGGAATCCTCTACATTCCCTCTCCATATTTTGGGAAGTGTATGTGAGGTTAACGTTTAATTTTTGGAGGGGATCTTCTGCCTTTTGGATTTTCCGTAAGTGACATTTGTAAGTACCGTATTAATTTTTGATACTTCCCGCAAATTTATTTATCACTGTTTGATTTTTGCTTCTACATTAAGTCGACCGCACCGTATTTACCGATTTTGCTTTTTCTTGCACAGAAATTTCTACGTGTTATTGCCAGGAAAGCTTGTTGCTACTTCCTGTTCCATTAATTATAAGGGGCGGGGGGGGGGGGATATAGTTTCGCTTTCCTGCATTTCTTTTCTCGTAGACATCGCTAATTAATTTGTGTTTGGTTGCTTTCATCCCGCTAGGAAGCCGTAATTTTGTTTTAGTTTTTCCGTGCGACCGCCGCCATTTTCTGAACTCAAAAAATTTACAGGAGGCGATGTAAGTTGCACTGGTAATTACATTGTACTGGGTGCTTACGTCTAAAGTGAGATAAAATTCGCACTTTTGAGTAAAGCTATAAAAATTTTCACATAATATGCTCTTTCGCCGACGAGGCGCCACGTTCATCTTCTCCTGGAACCCTCGTCAGTCTACCATTCTAGCAGCTGTTTGCCACAAAAGTTGATTGCTAATGACTGGACCATTTTTTTACTCTACTAAGCACTACATGATTACAATATTTGGGGTCGACTACTGGGGCACAGGTAGGAAAGCCCATATGAGTAGGGGTTGTCTACCTATCCAGGTGCTGATTATCCGATTTCTATTTTGATGTTTTTTCAGTGTTTAGGGTGGGTTTATGCAATCATTATCATCACTATCATTAGATCTCCCAGGCTACTGTTAAAGTGGAAGAAGCTGAGGTTTGAATATTAATTAAAGAGTGGTGGGACGGAACGACTCTGTTTCCTTGCTCGACCCACAATATTTATCTCCTTAATGCTTTCGTTAGGTTAATAGGTGCGAATGTATGTTTTAATTACGTCCACAGTTTCCTCACTATAGGTACAAAATATTCAGATCTAAAAGCTTTACTTTCTATTCGATGAGGATAATTCGAATGAGTGTAAACAATTTTTCAATGCAATGAAAATAGAGAATGTTGAATACCAACACTCTCCTGAAAATCCCACTTTTATCGAGAATTGCAAATTCGTCGAATAAAAATGTATACAGCACTATATTGGTCAACCCTTGTATTTTCCTTTCCCGTTATAAAAACTTAACGACCATAATTCTTTCGCATGCTTCAAGAAAAATTGGTACATTTTCTTAATGTCTCGTTCGCCACTGTTATTGCTTTTTTTTGCGAATCGCGAAAATCCGTTGGTAAAATTGAACGCGCACAACGATGCGGGGAAAGCCGACGACGACTGGGGTAGATTGAGAAATATTGAAATAAAATTGTAAAGGAAAAGCCTCCACATATTGAGCCCAGGCGTGTGCATTACGCGAGCAAAGCAATTTTAGTACTTTCCATTAAGAAAACACAATTACGACCGTCGTGA